CGCAATCACAGACATGAAGGTCGCTATCTTACAACAAAAAAACTTCAAATCCAGACTCCAGCGAGAAACTGCTGAATTGGAATTCATTTGCAAATTGGATACTATTAATTTAGGCTTAAATAGAGACTGGGAGTGGCTAAGTCATTATGCAAGGTAGCCTATTTCCCCTTGTTTTTTTCCTCCCCTCCACCCCCCCCCCCCCCGACGTTCTGGTTAAACTTGGATTTAAACTTGGAGAGTGGTCAGTTTGGATGAGCTATTGCCAGCAGGAGAGTGAGTTTGTGTGTGTGTGTGTGTTCCCCGGGGAGAGGGGGGGGGGGTGAGAAAGCCTGGATTTGTGCTGGAAATGGCCCACCTTGATTACCATGCACATTGTAGGGAGAGTGGTCACTTTGGATGAGCTATTACCAGCAGGAGAGTGAGTTTGTGTGTGTATGGGGGTGAGGGAGTGAGAGAACCTGGATTTATGCAGGAAATGGCCCACCTTGATTATCATACACATTGTGAAGAGAGTGGTCACTTTGGATGGGCTATTACCAGCAGGAGAGTGAGTTTGTGTGCGGGGGAGCGGAGGGTGAGAAAACCTGGATTTGTGCTGGAAATGGCCCAACTTGATGATCACTTTAGATAAGCTATTACCAGCAGGACAGTGGGGTGGGAGGAGGTATTGTTTCATGGTCTCTGTGTGTATATAATGTCTTCTGCAGTTTCCACGGTGTGCATCCGATGAAGTGAGCTGTAGCTCACGAAAGCTCATGCTCAAATAAATTGGTTAGTCTCTAAGGTGCCACAAGTACTCCTTTTCTTTTTGAGAATACAGACTAACATGGCTGTTACTCTGAAACCTATAGAGATCTATAAAATCATGAATGGTGTGGAGAAAGTGAATAAATAAGTATCAAAGGGGTAGCCGTGTTAGTCTGGATCTGTAAAAGCAGCAAAGAGTCCTGTGGCACCCTATAGACTAACAGACGTATTGAAGCATAAGCTTTCGTGGGTGCATACCCACTTCGTCGGATGCACGCATAAATAAGTGTTATTTACCCCTTCATATAAGACAAGAACCATGGGTCACCCACTGAAATTAACAGACATCAGGAATAAAAGAAACACAAGGAAGTATTCCTTCACACAACACACAGTCAACCTCATTGCCAAGGGATGCCAAAAGAATAACTGGGTTCAAAAAAGAATGAGATAAGTTCCTGGAGCATAGGTCCATCAATGGCTGTTAGCCAAGATGGTCAGAAATGCAACCCCATGCTCTGGGTGTCCCTAAATCTCTGACTGCCAGAAGCTGGGACTGGACACCAGGGGATGGATCAGTCAATAATTGTCCTGTTCTGTTCATTCCCTCTGAACCATCTAGCACTGATCACTGTTGGACAACAGGATACTGTGCTAGATGGACCATTGGTCAGACCCAGTATGACCATTCTTATGAATATGGAAGAAGGGTGAATTAAAATTACAAAGGGAGACATATTGAATTCTTTTACAGGGACATCAGTCTATTGGTCCCTAACTGAACTTCCTGGGAGTGTAATTTAGCTCTTCCTTGAAGAGAGAAGCATATGTTAATTGCATTGCTTCTAAATCCCCATTTCAGACTTTTTATTGATTGAATTCTGACTATAGCTGGATAAATAATGAAAATGTGTTCATAAAAGATTCCTTGATGAAATCCTGCCAACCTTCTCAATGAATATTAACAAGCTCAGGGGTTGACCCAGTGACCTGGGATCAATCCTGACACATGTAAGATAATGCAAAGCAATAATAGCAACGGGACTTAAATTATGCCTCTTTCTCTGACAGAAAAAACAAACTATCTTCTAAGAGATTTCTAAAACTACAACCCTTCTATGCTGTATACATTAAATAGAGGTCAATGATATTGAAGACTACTTATAGATAATAATAAGGTAATTAGTGTTTATTAAATCTTTCAGCTTTACACTGGGTTGGGCATAGTGAGAGTTATGGCACTCAAGAGAGCACAAAAGCTACTGACGGTGTTTGCTTCTGCAAAAGGGACAAGAAGCACTGATCATGCTCTACCATGCCTTTCTAAAGCGCAATCCTTCCCAGGACTCCCCACTGGGACAATGCAGTTCTACATTTCTCCCAGCAAGGCGCTTGTGACGCTTCCTGGGCATACCCAGGATTGTGAGGCATCTCACTATCAACCACCTGCCCTTAACATGAGGAAGCCTTGTCTGTGCCTGCTATAGGTCAGTTCTCCAGCACCACCAGCCTCTGACAACGCTAGCACTGTCCTCCAGGCCACAGCCCTCACTTTCTCTTTACAAGTCAACAATAGGGACACTCCAACCCTTGAGCACTCTGAGCATCCCCATGTCTTCCCACTTATGACCAGCAATATGGCTCTTCTCAAATCTACAAACCAGGCCAGGCCTGCCTTCCTTCCTAGTGCTCAAGCAGGCTACAGACCTCTTACAATCCCTGGTGCAAGTCAGGCTCCTTGTTCTACACAGGAGAAGCCTGCCTGCTCTCCTTCATTGACAGTCCTCAATTGCTTGGCATTCCTCCTCTTAAGTTGGACACCCACAGCCTAAGTGTAGTGTGATGGGGCAAACGGAGCCAAGGGCTGCTTTTTAACCCCTTCCTATCTGGTGCAGGATTTGTCTACCCTGTCACAGGTGACGAATTTAAAGTTCCTGTATCCAGGCACATAAAATATTCCTTTAAAAAAAACCTTTTGATTAAAAATGCATCATGCTTGTTCTGAGTCTAGGTGAAGATTTTGGGGTGAAAGTCTGAAAAAATTCTGTTTGGCCTTTTCTGTATCATGGACAAATACGTATTTTTCAGCATTTCCTCTGCACTCTGACAATTCAGAATGGCTTGTTTTTCTCAACTGAAAACTTTGCTCGCATGTAATCATCCGAGCAATTCGAAGAAAATTGATCTAGGTACACTGAGATTATGAACTGTAACTCTCCAGGCCCACACTATCCTTAACTTTCAAAGGCATGCCAAAGTGCAGTCTTCCAGATAAATGTACACATCTATGTTTGTATTGCTGCACATTTATTTCCAGGCATCAACATTTCTTTCAGTGTTTGATCATTTCATCAATTCATACAAAATGTAAAACATATGCCATGAACAGGCTTGACAAAGCCCTGGCTGGGATGATTTAACTGGGAATTGGTCCTGCTTTGAGCAGGGGGTTGGACTAGATGACCTTCTGGGGTCCCTTCCAACCCTGATATTCTATGATTCTATGATTCTATGAACATATGGGACTTGGCTTTCACACAGAACACCCTATGGATCAAATACTGCTTTTTCCAGAAATTATGCTCTGACTTGGGCCAGATGGGCAGAGACAAACACTGCAGGAGAGACACTGCGGACACTGGCACTGTCCAAGGTGACTTATTCCTTGAAATAACTCAAGGACCCTTTTAAAGGTCATCCTAACTCATTCCTGCAAGAAATGCCTTAGGTGCCTAAGCCATCTAACTGCAAGGAGTTCCCATTCATGGATCGCTAAACAGACATAGGCACCTGCCTGCAGCCCGGATTTACACACTGGTATCTGAGCAGGGGCAGAGCTTATGGCCCCACACTCTGGTTGGCATCTCCCAGGGGCTAAGTTAGATGACTTCCCCAACTAGCATGCTGGCTTTTGTGGGTAGCATTCTTAGGCACCTATCTCTCCTCATTCAACATAGAGGGAGCTTAGGTGCCTAACTCAGCTTTGTGTATTACAGTATTGTTCCTGGATTTTCTAGGTGCTGTGACATTCAACACTGCAATGCCTAAGTACCTTTGTGTATCCCACCCCCTCTGCCTCAGTTCCCCATCCTATGGCTAGTGTTATGTTAGAGATCACATCATAATGGTCCCTTCTGATCTTAAAAAGAAAAGGAGTACTTGTAGCACCTTAGAGACTAACCAATTTATTTGAGCATGAGCTTTCGTGAGCTACAGCTCACTTCATCAGATGTATACCGTGGAAAATCCCACCGCTGCCACCATGTCAAGGTTCCTCCCCCACTCTGAACTCTAGGGTACAGATGTGGGGACCTGCATGAAAAAACCTCCTAAGCTTATCTTTACCAGCTTAGGTCAAAACTTCCCCAAGGTACAAAATATTCCCCCCATCGTTAGGATGACCTTTAAAAGGGTCCTTGAGTTATTTCAAGTTTTCCACGGTATACATCTGATGAAGTGAGCTGTAGCTCACGAAAGCTCATGCTCAAATAAATTGGTTAGTCTCTAAGGTGCTACAAGTACTCCTTTTCTTTTTGCGAATACAGACTAACACGGCTGTTACTCTGAAACCTTCTGATCTTATAATCTATTAAATCAATTAACCTATTTATTTGTAAATTCTTAGGAATATTCATTCTGTACATTTGGGGTGGATACACTGTATTATTTGTACATAATAAAGAGATACGGGGCCCTCATTGTCCACCCCCTTTGACTTTATATAGTTATTTACACCTGTGTATTTTGTTCTGGTAGCATTTTACACTCACTTTAAACAGGTGTAAATTACAATGTGCAAAGCATTGGAGATTCCAACACACCAGGTGAAACCCTGGTCCATTTGAGTAGTGGGGCCAGGAGTTCACCTACTATTCCTGTTTTAAGTGGAAATATCACAAGTACCCCCAAAATCTGAGGGGTTCGGAATTACATTGTCCAAAGGTTCTCAGGGATGTGCAAGCTAAAAGTGATGCCTCTACCTCCTGTGTGTGCCAGCTAGCCCTTCTCACCTGACTCAGCAACTTTGCAAGTGTATACTCAGCAGAACTTTGATTATCCTGCCCTCAATTATCCTAAATCCCCTGTTATCAAAAAGAGGGTCACATGCATTAATCATATTAAAAATCCACTTAATTAACTGAAACCTTGATTATTCAGATTTATTCAGTGTCTCCCATGCCGCTTCAGTAATGAAGTTTGTACTGCGTTTGTAAAATGCTATGTTTAACCAGTGTTCTTTTTCTTTCACTTACCTCTGAAATTTTGCTTAATGAGTCTTGTTCTTAATGGGACTAATCCCTGGGGCTTCTTGACAGTCTTCAGTGCAGTCAAGGTTTTCACCTGTCAAAAGGTTAATTTAACGTTCTATTTTTTCTGTGTCATGTAACAGAGATTATTATGTACCACCATCTTTATCTAGGCATCAATAACTCATTTTAAAATGTCAAAGGTCTTCCTAATGACCAGTCTGATGAGTCATTGAGCTTCATTAAAATCAAAGACCAAAACAGGCAACAGGTGGTTGTGATAATTAAGGAGTGAGAAGGGATGTGAACAGGCTCTCCTAGCTGCATTAGCTTCTCCCCTACACCTTATTCTGAGAAGGGGCCTAGGCAATGGCACATCAGACAGATTAATGACCACCTGGCTCCAGTCCTGACTTAAGCTGTCAGATGGCTTTGATGAGGGCTGAGGGAGCAAAAGGAGGGGCTGCTCCACTGCATGCATGCTCCAAGATCCATTGCATTGAGAGTGGCTTAGTTGCAAGGCCTTCTCATTTACTCATTCCGCATGCCAGAAAGTCCCTCTTCTCATGAGGGAGAATGAGACATCAACTCTGAAAGGAAAAAAACTCAAAGTTGTTGCTATACTTTCCCCCCTCCTGTAGATTTTCACACTGAAGAGGAATGTTCCTATTCTAAAGCACCATTTAAAAATATTATTCTAACTGGATATGCCCAATCCACACAGACCATGGGGCTTTTGAAAATAATCACCTGGGTGTAGAAAAGTGCATGCTGATAATCACCAGTTTGCACACACAGCAGGTTCTTTGACCTTTCCCCTCCATTTCCCTTACAACTCCAATACCCCCTGATGATATGTCACTTTCGAAAAAGGAAGAATAATCCCCCTTATCCAGATTTATATATCTCAAATAATTATTTTCCAACTGTGAAGTCCTATAGCTTCTCTTCCCCTTCTCCTCCCACTGCCAATGAACCGAGGTACTTCATCAGAATTTGCTGCCCCCTCCTATGGTAACCACTTTAACCTCCACTAGAAATGCAAATAGAGCACCTGCATGGGACACATTGTTCTTGGTATGGAGTGAAAATAACTCCCAACCCCCAAAATGGATGCTACTCAGCCATCTTGCCTTTCCTGGATGTACAGTGGCTAGTCTTTGGAGCCTTACACCAGGGGCACCATTTCAGATTTTGGGGGGCAACTTTAACCGTGATTCCAGGGGCTACTTAGGCACCTGAAAACTGTAGGGTTGTTATTTTTTAAATAATAACTTAGAAATTAGCTCATAGGAGCACTGTATCTAATTCCTACATAAAAAAAAAAACAGAATTAAATAAATATTAGACCCACTCAGCTCTAATACTAACATGTTCTCACATCTTGGGACAAGTCACTTAAGGAATGCTGGTTAGGTTTAAATTTTAATGTATTGTGACAAAGTTCCTCTTCTGCCTTAGTGGGTCCCGCGCTTATTGGCGAATTTGCTCGCCTCAGAGGTTCACGGCAGCCCTCAGTTTGGCCACTTTCGTGGCTCAAATCTGCCGTTCACTCAGTTCGCCTCATCACTGGCCAGCATGGGGAAAAGGAAGAAGAACAATTCCCACAGTCTCTGCTGATCCACCTAGTGGATCGGGGAACAGGCCAGAGACCTTCCCCTCTGGTGGAACCCACAGTCCAGGTCAACTCCTCCGGTATCAAGTAGGGAGTTGGGGGGATGGAGGTAACCCGGGCCTGCCCTCTACTCCAGGTTCCAGCCCAGGGTCCTGTGGATTTCAGGTGTCTGTAGTGTTTTGTGTAACGCCTGTGTGACAGCTACATCTCCCTGGACTACTTTCCAACGGCCTCCTCCCAACAACTTCTTTATCTCACCACAGGACCTTCCTCCTGATGCCTGATAATGCTTGTACTTCTTAGTCTTCCAGTAGTATGCCTTCTCACTCTCAGCTTCTTGCACCTCTTGCTCTCAGCTCCTTGCACACACACCACAAACTGAAATGAGCTCCTTTTTAAACCCAGGTGCCCTGCCTGTCTTAATTGATTCTGGCAGCTTCTTGGTTGGCTGCAGGTGTTCTAATCAGCCTGTCTGCCTTAATTGTTTCCAGAAAGTTCCTGATTGTTCTGGAACCTTCCCTCTTACCTTACCCAGGGAAAAGGGACCTACTTAACCTGGGGCTAATATATCTGCCTTTGATCACTCTCCTTTAGCCATCTGGCCTGACCCTGTCACAGTATATTTTTAATTTGTTGCTAACTCTTGAACACAACAATTGAAACAATTGTAGAAAATCTAGATTACTTTCTATCACTTTTTTGGAGTTCACCAAGCTTGGAAATTATCATTTAACTTTGGAAACATCTTACCAGGGCAAGGCCTCGGCAGTTTATACTGCACCTGCCTGGGGCTCTAGGGGTGTTACCCCACTACAAATAATAAACTAGAAATTTTTCCCTGCTCTGCATGAAGGAGGTGCACTGACACTGAGCAGTGGCTGAGCTAGGCCTGAGCAATGTAATGCATAATATGGAGCAGTCACACTGCCAGCTATGTTTCCTGCTTCCTGTTCACTGGGAGTTAACTTTTCTCTCTCACTTGCATTCGAGCCCCTCCGACTTCAGGAATATGACAGCAAAAGAATTTGGTCCAAGAAATGCTGAGCGGGCAGGCTGCTTCTGGAAATGCACAGGAGTATCTCTGTTTAGCTTTGGAATGAATGTTCCACTTAAAAATGCCAACCTGTCCAAACAAGCAATGTGTACATAAAATACATGCCCACAGCCTTCAAATGTGGTGTCTTTGGGTCCGTTCCTGGTAATGTTAGCAAATCTTTTAAAATCTCCACACATTGATAAAATGATCATTACATTGATCAAGCAGAAGTTTCTCTGGTCACAGTCTTAGGCTTCTTGAAAAGCAGAACACAAGCCTGTTTGCCAATCATTTCACAACCTGTTGCCATATGGTAAATCACATTTTATTACTGGGTACAGCAAACTCCCGGTGATCCTATCTAATAAGAGGGCAACCCCCCATTAAGATCCCTTGACTCATTATGTTAATCAATTGCATTGTAAACACCTTATAAGCTCAGCCTGTTGAATCCCTAGCTTCAGGTCACATTCTCTGTACTAAGAAGAAAAGGAGTACTTGTGGCACCTTAGAGACGAACAAATTTATTTGAGCATAAGCTTTCGTGAGCTACAGCTCACTTCGTCGGATGCATTCAGTGCATTCTCTGCACTGATGCTGGTGCCTTCTTGTGCTCCAAGATCTAACAGGAGCAGGTACAAGCTCCTGGGGAATGGCAGATTCGAAATGATTTTATTATAAATGCCATTGCTGCCAGGGGCTGGGTCCCAAAGAATGTGCTGCATTTGGGAAAGACAGCGGTGTGGTTTGTCCTAGTACTGTACCTGCCCTTCTGTTCCTCCTTCCCCTCCCATGAGGAAGGACCCCTCGGTGAGGAGGGAGCGGAGCAGAACAAAGCTGAAGGTAATGAAGGCAAAGGGGATTTGTAAGTTCAGCCTCCCCCCCCCCCCGCGTTTCCTCTGCCCGGGGGCTGTACAAGAGGGGCGGGGGGAGCTGAAAGTCACCCAGTCTTGGGAGGCTGGGACACAGCAGTGGGGGTCACATCGTGTCCCCCTGGTACAAGTCCGTTAAAAAGAACAAATGCCAGGAGAGGAAAAGGCGACTCACAGCCCTTCCCCTCCCCCCGCAGGCTCCGCCTCTCCACGCCGGTCCGGCCAACACACACACTTGCCGCCCATCCAGCTGTGGGAGCGCACGTGCCGGCCGGCGGGCGGGCGGGCGAGCGAAGCTTTGCGGTTCCTTTGGCGCAAGATCCCGCTCTCCCTCCCCAGCCAGGCTGCCGCCTGCTCCCCGGCGCCCCCTCCCCGCCCCTTCCCGGCCGCTCCTCTGGGGGCCGAGGGGGGGTGGCAGCTTCCAGCCGACGACAGTGGCGTGTCAGGCGCTGCGAGGCGCGCTGTGCATGTGTCACTTCGCCTCTCCCCGCCGCCCGGTGCGCCTCGCTGGCTGCGGGCTGGGGTCTCTCCCTCTCCAGCTGGGGGCGGCCTGCGAGGGACGCCGCTGAGCCCGCCCGCTGCCCGCCCCGCGGCTTACCTGCTGCTCGGCGGCGCGTCCTGCGCGCTCCTCCGCCCAGCACCATGGACAGCGCCTTCCCCGCCAACTCCAGCACCTGCGGCCCCTTCGCGCCCCCCTCCGCCGCCTGCCCGCCCCTGCCGCCGGGCGTCTGGGGCAACCTGTCCGGGCGCCCGGAGGAGCCCGGCTGGAACCAGTCCGACGCCTGCAGCGGCGCCAACAGCAGCCACGGGGCAGGCGGCGGCGGCCCGTGCCCGGCGAGCGGGGTCAGCCCCTCCATGATCACCGCCATCACCATCATGGCTCTCTACTCCGTCGTGTGCGTGGTGGGGCTCTTCGGAAACTTCTTGGTCATGTATGTCATCATCAGGTAAGGGGCTGGGCAGGGGGCCGAAGGAGGCTGCCCCGGGGCCGGGGTGGTGGGGGGGGGGAGCACGGAGGCTGGGGGCCGGAGGGAGAGAGACCGAGGAGGCTATAAAGCACCAAACACTTTGTTCTTAGTCACTGTCCTCGGCACTGCCCGCAACCCGGGAGTAGCTACCTGGCGCCAGACAGTGCAATTCCTTGACCCCGGGGCTGGGAGAGGACAGGATGTCTTTGCCTTGATGAGGCGGGCTGGAAGGGGGGCGTTAATCACTCTTGAATTGGCTCGGCTGAAAGTAGGGTCCTGCTTGGAGATACTTTCCACACCAAGCTCCGTCTCTCCCGCTGCGGTTGTGCTGGCCACCTGGAGAGGGTCTGAGATGCTCGCAAATGGCCTCTTCCTGCTTCAGACGGGGGGGGCATCTTTTAGACAGACCTCTCTGGGTTCTTCTTTCTGCTTTGTGGCTAATCGAGACGATATTAATGTATTGCTAAAATACCCTATGAGGGGGCATGACGCCTCTGCCAGGGGCAAAGGGGAAAAGTTGCACTCTAGGTCTGGTAGAGAGAGAAAAATATTTCACAAAGATCAGATCAGAGGAAGGCAACGGACCTTTCTGCCTGATGAAGGAAATTTCAGCAAGGCTCAGAGGTGAGCTAACTAAACGAATAATGTTAAATTAGAGAGAAAGAAATTAGCACAGTGTGTCACAGAGGCAAAAGTGACATCTATTTGTTTACGTGGCAATTTGTAATCTTCATGGCTGTGATTTATAATCTGGTAAATACTCTCTGAGAGTCCAAAACCAATGCTCTAAAATAAGTGGAGAGAAATGCATTTGCTCAGAACATTTGTGATGTGCTTTCACGCAGAACTCTAGCATACTAGCTAAAGAGACAGAAGGCTTTAAAACTATGATTCTTTAACACTACACACACTCGTGAATATTATAACACCTAACCTTTTTAACACACATAGCCCTTTCTTCCTGGGGTTCTGTAGTCTCCCCCTTGAAATTAAAGTCAAAATTCCCATTGACCTCTACTAAGGAAAGGATTGGGCCCATTAAAACTAATTACTGTTTTTCCGATGTTGTTGCAATCTTTCTTAGCTTTCTCACAGATAATCCCACTTCCAGATAAATATATTTACTAGTGGGACAACTGTTATTCAAAGGAGCCATTTAAGATTTAAAGGGTTTTTTTTAAAAATAAGTTGCAGTTGCTTCATGAGTGAGCCTGCCACACTTGCAAATCAGATTTCTTAATACAAGGCAAGTAAGAGAGGAATGAAATTTGCTCATTACATTTGTCTAACATTTGGGAGAAATCAGATTACAATCACTTTCTCTGAGAAAACAGCACCATCTATTGAAAGCAATGATCGCAACAGATGGAATTGCTGTAGAGGAAATTGGGGTTTCATTTAGAATACGTATTCTCTTGAGAAACAACACCTTTCTTGCATTAATTTTAATGTAATTTTTAAAGGTTTTCATGATGTGATGAGAAGAGGAAATAGAAATAATTCTATATATTAAAGCAAGGTGATATGTTGTTTTCCTGAGTGGTCCTGAAGTTATAAACCGTTAGTCTTTTAAATAAATAAAAATAATACGATGCCTTACCAAAGGCAAAACCAGATTAGTAGTTATTTTCTAAAATTGTTATGTTTTTCACTAATTTAATTTTGTTGTTTTAAAATAAATTTGTATTTTCCAGGGAATACAAACTGGAGGGAACTTTTTAATGTCTGATTCAACCTGGGACTAATTTGGCAGATTGGTTCAGCAGGGCACAATTAGCAAGAATGGCATGAAAACTAGTTGCTAGTGATGAGAGCCGTTTTGTAACTGAAAGGGCAGGATGGAGACAGTCCCACAGCATCTGCTTGCATTACAGCAGCAACCACAGAAACTTCACAGTGGTCATATTTCCCAATATTGAAAATCTTAACTGCAGAAATACAGGATTTGAGATATTGATGAGAGTAGAAATTTGTCTCACCCACAGTATATATTTAAGAGCAGAAATATCATGCTAGTGAATTTATGGTACACCAATTAATAAGACAACTTGGCCGACAGGGTTAATGGAAATGGAGATTCAGTAATATACATCAGTGGTTCTAACTGGAGTAGTCCTATCCCAGGACAAGGAGCTGTTGTTTCAAATAACCCTTTAGGAACTGAATTTTAAATTGAAATAGCTGGAAAGATTCTGTACCACTCTGTGATTTTATCCAATCAGCAAGACATGCCATTTCCTGGCAACTTTCCAGCTGTACAAATACTTCCAAATGGCATGATGACCGTAATTGTATGATGCATGTATTGAATGTATTCCACTGGGGAAAATCAGATGCATAATATAACAGAGTAAGGATGCTTGTAATCAAATAAGTATTGGTTTGGGGTTGTTTAGTTATGCTGACTGAACCTGTTAAATATCCAATAACTGATAGTACCATTTTAACAATCTTTGCTTTTATTATTATTTGTATTACAGCAGCATCAAGAAGCCTCGGTGTCCTAGACATGGTACATAGGCATTTTAAGGAACAGTCTCTTCCCCAAAGAGCTTACAATCTAAATAGACAAGACAAAGAGTGGGAGAAAGGAAGTATTATTACTTTCATTTTACAGATGGGGATATGAGGCACAAAGAGGTTAAGGGTGGGATCCATAAAGGTACTTAGGCACCTAAGTCCCAGTTTTAGGCACCAGTGAGATCCACCAAACTCCTACTTGGCTGCCACATAACCTTATAAGTGGCTACAGTCACTCAGCACCTATGCTTTTGCAGTAAACGTTCCCCAGGCGCCCATGTTCCTACCTGTGGACATGTGCACTGCTGCCTCATTCTAGGCATCTGGGTACCTATCTCCCACCTAAGCCCCAGAGTCATTTGCAAACCAGGGGAAGATACGTGTTTGGCTGCCTAAGTTGGGGTGGGGGGGCAGGATTTGATGCAATGAGCATTGCAATGAGCATTGCCTATCACATTGAGCTCCTCAGGTGAGTTCACACAAAACTGCAAGGGATGAAGGGGAAGAGGCCTCCCTTATAACCTTTAGCCCAGTGGTTAGGGTATGCAGGTGGAATATAAGAGACCCCTGGTTCAAGTCCACCCCTCTGCCTGATAAGTAAAAGGGATTTGAATAGGGATCTGCCACCTTTCACGTAAGTGCTTTAACCACTAAGCAGTAGAGTCATTCTAACTGTCTGTGACTCAATTAATATTCAGTTATTTAATTAAAATGGAACAACTTCAATTGGAGAGATTGAGAGAGATACGCACCAGAATATTCTATTTCTTCAATGGGAGTTAGGCACCTAAATACCTTTGAGGAACTGGGCCTGGGTACCTTGGAGGGTCAGGCCCAGCAAGAACAGTAATGACTTGATCTTCAGAGGTGTTGAGCTTCAATAACTCCGGCTCTTTTGGAAATGTAGTCGAAAGCACATAGAGTTGCCCCATAGTTAAGGTGAAAGCTCCATTAGAAGTAGTCAAACATCTACCCCTAGCTCCTCCAAAAAGAAAAGGTCTTTCTGAAATTTTGCACACCACATTTCATCCCTGGGTACATTATCTTTCCAGGAAGTTTGATAACATTAAGAAAAGGGGTTTTAAAATTATGGTTTTGGGGCCTTGATCATGTAAGTCCTTGCATAATGTTCAGGTCTAACTGTAATCCTCCATACTACTACTCAAGCCACTTCTGCATCTGCTCCCTTACTCTCCTGAGCAAAAGGGGTCAAGTCAAAGAGTGAAAGACATAGGCTTAAATGTGAATCTCAGTTTGCAAATTAGGTGCTTTGCTTATCTGTTTGCTCTTTTCCTTGACAAAATTTTTGCCAATAGGGAGGAGTGACTTGGCAGCTATTCGGCAGCATTCTCATTGATGCAGGATCAGATTCTCCAGCACATCCTGACTCTCTCGTCACTTTACCTTGAATTTATATGTACACCATTCTTTACCTGCATCCTGTCAGATCAAGTCCTGTGTAGCCAACTCTAAGTTGTTTCTCAGTGATGATCAAGCAGCTCCTCTGCTGTGTTTCTGAGTGAACAATAGAACTCCATTTTATCACCCTCCATTGATTTCTTGACTATTTTGGTGCTATATTAGCTATTTTCTTTATGGATTCCATATAAATATTAATTCCAAAATGAATAGGATGCTGTAATGCTTTTCAAAAGACATGAAGGTGAATTATAATTTTCTTCTTAAATTAACATTTTCGTTGGCAAACATTGTTAGGCAACAACAAATGTGACTTCTAGCTATTGAGTGGCACATAGATACAGTGTGCTATTAGTAACACAATGAATTCAGTTACCAAAGCAATCTATGGGCCCTGTCCTGCTCCCATTCAAGTCAGTGGGAGATTTGTCATGGATGTGCATGGGAGGAGGATTGCGTCTAAGGGTCAGATCTCCAAAGCTATTTAGGCACCTAACTTCCACTGATTTCAATGGGAGGTAACTGCCTAAATACCTTTGAGGATCTGAGACTTTAGCATGTCCAGTGTTAGAAAGATATAATACAAATGTAGTCAATTATCCTTGACACTACATGGATGTCTGGAAAAACGGAATATTTACCTCAGAGCTCAATCCTGCAAGGTACTGAACTCCTCCTGAGAGGAGCTTAGTGCCCACAACACCCAGTAAAGTCAATGGGAACTGAAGGCACAGCACACTTCTCAGGATTGAAGCCTTAACTGCATTTCTCATAAATTAAGACTGAAGTTCCCTTGGTGATGTGTTCTTAACAAGAAATGCCTTGTATCTTGACGGTAAATGATTTGCCTAGTACCACAAACTTGAAATTACAACATAAGAATGGCCATACTGGGTCAGACCACCGGTCCATCTCGCCCAGTATCCTGCCTTCTGACAGCGGCCAATGCCGGGTGTTTCAGAGGGAATGAACAGGAGCTGGCAATTTTCAAGTGATCCATCCCGTCGTCCGCTCCCAGCTTCTGGCAGACAGACGCTTAG